AACTTTTACCTTGAAATCGGCTTAGAAATCAACAGCGTCTAAGAATTTAATATTAATCAGTTAAGGAGGCGAGTCAATTTGATTTTGGGTGGACAAGTAGATTTCTTAATACATTTGTACAACATTGCGTAAAAATGTATTCTACACATTTTAGGGTGCATTACTGCAATCGATATACGTGTATATAATGTGTGATCATCACCAATTATAACCAAATATCGATTTTTTTTTAAGAAATAAAAATTATTTTGATATTTTTGATTTTTGATTTCTGTTCTTTTTTGTTGTTATCAATATTTAAATAAAAAATTATTAAAATTTTTTTATTGTTACATTATAAAATAATTTTATCAACTCCGTACGTATTTCGCACATATTTTTTTGGATGGATGAATTAAATTATTTTTAAATTTCGAAATACAAACGGATTGGAATAGCGAATTGTAATCATAGATAGATTAAGTTTCTTTTTTTCTGACAGATAGCAAAAAAATAGTTTTTAAATGACCTATTAAACTCTTAAAATACATGTTTCAAGATGCTGTTCTTATATAATGCGCAATACTGTCGACAAAAGACGCGGCCATCGATGCAATTATATATGCCATGCAACAAAGAATACCAATTTTTCATGGATCGATACCAATGAACACATAAAAGACAGATTTTTTTTTCAATTTTCTTAACAGTTGAATAAAATTTTCAGCTTCTACATAAACGTTTAAATCATTAGACATTTTGCCTTTTTAAAACATTACAACGTAATAAAAACTAGAGTGATAAAATTGACATAACTTTAGCCATAAAAATATTTTGAATATAAAGTTTTATATAAAATAATATAATACAATTGTTTTGTAAATTGTTATACTCATTATTTTTTATGGGATTAATAAATTAATGAACTACTTTCTTTTAATAAAAAATAAATATTTTTTTGTTAAATGTAAAATTGAATATCTAAAAAATAAAATTTAATAACATTACAATTTTATTCAATTCTTAATCTGAGATATAATAATTTTTATTCGACTTTTCGACTTTCGACTTTCGAAACATAGAACAGAATTTTTAAAAATCTGACAGTCCGGTTAAAAACAATTTTATAACTGCAGAGCTGTAGAACACACACTCTTTATGACTGTAGACTACAGTCTGTAGTCTGTAGTAACCTTAAGAGAAGATTAAGAAAAAATTAATGTATGAGAGTCCTTGTCCAAATCATGATAATATTAAATTGTTACGCTGTAAACATTATAAAATATCGGATTTCAAAAGCTTAAATTTTATGTTCTTTTTTATTGCGCTATTTCTTATTTCTCTTTTTCTGTTTTAAATATTGTACATTTTTTGTGTAAATTTAACCTTTAAAAAAAAAATGTAAAAGAAAGGCGCCAAGTACACGCTCTTGTCACAACCAAAACAAAAGTGTTGTTTTATCTTTCAAAAAAAGCTGTCGTATATATTAAAATCTTTTAACAAAGGCTATCAACTATAAGAAAAACTGTTATGTAGTAATTGTACAAACTATAAAATTAAAATCTTATTTTATTGTTATATTTGCTATATTAACTATATTATATTATTATAATACATCGCTTTTTTAACTTTTTATACCACTGACTCGTCAAGTAAGAATTTTATATTTTAAATCTTCGTCATCCGTAACACATAAATATGGATTTTAAAACGGTTAAAAATTTTTAAATGAAATGCGTTTAACCTTGCGGCCTATATTTATTTATGTATAATTTTAATTTGTTTGTCAAGGTGTTGATCGCCGTTTGTATGTTGTCACTGAGGATGGCCACAATAAATGTGCCGAAACGTCTGCGATTTTAATTCGTTTTATTAATTTAAGAGCACCTAACACCTGGCTTTGGACTTGCATAGCTATTATATTTAAATTGATAATTGGTTGATTAATAAGACCCAAATAACTAATTTCTATTTTTTATTAATTATTATATTATATTAATTATATTCAGGGTTGGGAAGTAACTCGTTACTTGTAACGAAGTTACAGTTACAGTTATTTTTTTTGGTAACTATAACTTAACTTCGTTCTTTTTTTTTTATCTATAACTGTAACTTAACTTAGTTACACATTTATGGTAACTAGTAACTAATTTAACAGTTATTTTAATATTCTATATACGATTGTATTAATTGTAAAAATTAGGGCCTATCCAAACACACTTGCATAGTCGCATAAACATATGCATTAGGAAAGGAACAAAATTGTCATGGAATTTGTCATATTAAGTGTAGATTCGATATTTGTTAAATAAATAAACGGATAAACGTATAGATATTAATTATGAAATTTAACAGAAATAAACAAATTCTCATTTAAAGAATGCACTGCCATCCAGTAATAAATTATCTTTGAGAATGATTATATAAACATAAAGTTGAGACTTTAAGAAGAACTGAAACATTAGTCTACGATTTTTCGGAAAGTTACAACTGTTTGTGTGAAATTCGTGAATTTTTAAACTGAAAAATCTTAATTCTATAATTTTTATTCTAAGTGTATAATAATTTATTTTAAATTATTAATTAATTTAATATTTTAAGTTTAAAACAATTGTGATTTATTACATATAAAATAATATAACACAAAATTAAGTACCTATGTAGTATATAATAAGTTAATAAATCTTGAAATGTAAGATTCTTATATTTAAAATAGTAGTGTACATTTATTGTAAAAAAATAATTGAAAAGTAACGACTCGTTACTTTTTGAGTAACTATAACTGTAACGTGTTATTTTTCAGAGTCGGTAACTTGTAACTGTAACTAGTTGTTTTTTTAGTGAAAAGAACTGTAACTTTAACTAGATACTTTTACAAAATAACTTTCCCAATCCTGATTATATTATATTTTACCATATTTTACCATATTTTACATATACTATACTATATATACTAGATACTATATATATTATACTATATACTATATATATTATAAAAAAATAAATACATAAATAAAAAAAAAATAAAAATAAAAAAATAAAAAAAAATTTAATCAAAATAAAAAAATATTTATTAAAAATGCAAAAAAACTTGTTTGTGTAAATTTAATAATTCAGCTTTTCTCAACAAATTATAAAATAAAAGTATCAAAACAGTAGCTTAAAAAATATCGATGTTTTTGTATTTGTATTTGTATCGATGTTTTGTATTTGTAAAATTTTTGTATTTTAGCATATAAAGTGTTGTGTGTATCGATATCAGTTATTAAATCTGTTTTTATATAGAAACTGTGTTTGTAATATAATATAATTCTACATTAAAAAAAAATTATATATTAACAAAGACAATTGTATGTGATTATGATTTAAACATATATAGCTGAAAACATATTTTCTTTATTTTTAACAACAATTTAAAAATTGTTTATAAGAAACCATTTTATATACAACGATCCAGTAATTTCTAATAATTTTCTCAATACATCTTGCTGTATTTGCTGAAAACCCAGATTAGTTCAAACAATACCATGCGTCATCAAGATGCAAAAGATCAAATCTTGCTGACGGGAATGTAACTTCTGGACATGCGAGAATGATTGCTTATTACGCATATGCGAGAGACTGATCCGACTGAAATTACGCTATAATTGATGATCATCCATCAAATCAAAGAAATTATTGAAATTAGACCTATGACTTATGATAATGCACATTAAATCGACTATACTGCCTGACTACTTATTTGCGCGAATATTATGTGCATTAATGAATTTTTTATTTGTGATATGCAGAAATTTTTTTCTTTACACTCTGCTAATTAAAATAAAATCGAAAATAAGAAAATTAAAATCAAGATAATTATTCATGCATCTAAACAAATATATAAATATAAAAAAGTTGTTAGATTTATAAATAAATTTCTTGTAATATTAGTTTTTTATTTATAAACTTTGAAGAAAACATAACAAGTTTGAAGAAATATTTATACTTTGTTTCTATAATTAAATCCTTATATTCCAAATTTACATAAGACCATCGGTTGTTTTGCAGATTTTTTTTGTATTTGCAGAATACAAAATATCAATACATATAATATCAAACTTTGATATGTTTTAGAAAATGAAGTTATGTGATTACGGAATATGATTTTAATGTAACTTAATACTGTTTACCTGGTGAATGTGTCATCACATTGTGACTTACACAGTAAACATCTTTATTTTCATCAAAAGCATTGAGAAAAAATTGGAGTATAGAGTCTTGTAATAATAATAACCACTCAACTTTCTTTATATGCGTCTTCAGTGTAAAATTTCAAGAATTCATAAATATTAAACATTTTTATGGAAATACTTAAAAACATAATGTAATATAATAATTATTTAGATAAATAATTAATATAAATTTAATATGTTACACAATTTAGATAAATAATTAAAAGTCAAATTATATTTTAGATATACGTAATATAGGATATTTTATGAAAATATGTTTAGCAGCATTATCAGAAAAAGAATTGTTTTTTCTACGCACATTAAATTCTTTCCTCTTTGTATATTTTAGCTCAATGATGGCACTCTTCAATTTTGCATGAAACGTGCCTAAGACAAGTATTTTCAACATATGCCGCGATCAAAAAATTAGCCGAAGACACAAGATATCCGCGCGTGTAAATTTTATCTTGAAAGCATGCACAAATGATGTTATACGGTCTTACATTTCTCTCATAGTTTTTTTTTAGCAATTCAGGCAGAACATTAAGGCATTTCTTATATTATAAAAGTTTTTGAAAATCATTGCGTGCAGTGCGTCGAATCGAAAAGTAAGCACGCGCAGAATGATCACAAAATGCTCGGTTTTTCCTGACATAATAATTCACTGAAATAATTTGGTGCAACGCTAATTAGTCTCATACCGTCCGTCATTCAATAAAATAAATCTGGAGTCCCACGAAAAAAACAACAATCACTAATATTATAACTTCGCAATTGATTGATTAATCGAGAAGACATAATGCTGACTAGGAGTGTATTTGCGTAGCGCTCCGAGAAACGTACTCCAAGATGGTCGGTTTCTTGCAAGAATGCAAATCCAGTATCGTTTCCATTATAGATACATTCATCCCTCGGAATGTTAATGTTATTTATCGGATATTAAAGTTGGAATAAAGTTTGCAATTATCATCCGCTTAGTAGAAGTTATTATTTTTTACTTTGCATAATTTCGCTAATGATTGAGCACTTTGGTTTATGCGCAAGAAAAAGATTATGGTATCTATATAACATACAAATTATAAGAAATTTGCATAAACAAATACATAAAAATATACAAAAAGAAATATAATTCTTTCTAAGTATTTGTTAAGTATTGATATAACGACTTTGTCTTTTTGTCTTTATAAAAAAATGTACTTTTGCTATTATACGCACGCAAACCACTGAGATTTATTTAAAAAGTTTATAAAACTTTATTTATTATCTCTTTGCTTTATAAGTAATATATTTTTAATTATATAACTTTTTATTGGAAAAAGAAAAATACATATTATTACCAATGACTAAGTGTATTGCATTTTTTCTACGAGAATAATATGTCTGCTCAGCAGAATTCTTAGAAAAAAAACATGATTTAGTTTGAAGAAATATAATTTATTATTATCAGATTTACACTACAATCTTACTACACATATAATTATTATGCTGTAATATTTTTTACATTTACTGTCTCGTCGTACGAGTTGTTACTTAATTCTTAATCATATATATATTTAATTGTTGCACACAAAAAGTTGGAATTTTAAAATTCTAGGAATACATTAGCTGTTATCTTCGAGTAAATATTTGCCTCAATGACTTATGATTGTAGAAAATCAGAAAACACATACTGTACTTGAGTATTTAAAATTTTATTCATATTCATAACATTGCATTGTAAATGCAATCGTTATTATCGCTGGTTATTGAAACAGATAATCTGTGAGTCTGAAAAATAATTCACGACGTTAATAATAATTTAGTTTTCCGATTATTTTATTATCCCAAGGCTATCATCATTAATTTTTATCTTATTTTTATCTTATAATTGTCACAGATCCCTGTGATAGCAGTCATGCGTGCGGAATTTAAATGATGCGGTGTCGTAAAGTGAAGCGAGAATAAAATGCATCGCTGAATCGCATAGTGAATTTCCGATCAGAATAGTTTGACGCATACAATTACAACATTCTCGTTGCAGAACAATAGCTACCAAGCAATATTATGGATTCTATAAACAATTACTATGCGTAATTTAAAAGTCATTGAGTTTCCACATAATTTATCTTACAATTAGTAATGAATATATTATTGCTCTTGCGTCATTGTCCTACTATTCCACATTTGTCTAATTACATGCAAACGTAAAATTAAAAAAATAAAATAAAATAAGATAGAAACTGCTATGTACAGCATGTATAAATGTAATTAGCATTTAAATAATGTATTAATAAAAATGCAAACTTTTAAAAAACTTAGAGGTGATAAAAATAAAATCTGAGACAAAGTTGAAACGCTACCGTTTATTTCGAAACAAAAGATAACTAACACATGAGTGCTCGATAAATAAGCAATACAAGTGTTCTTATTTAATAAAAAGAGGAGGACGTGTAAAAATGATATGTACATAAAATTTATATGCATAAAATTTATACGATCTACGATTGTCCAAATCTTTCGGCAAATCTTATTTACTATTTAGTTTTGTATCAGCATGTGTATATTAATGTTACTTAATAAAAATGAATATGTATGAAAATGCAGATATATCTAATCATGTCATTACTTAAATACGTCATTATATAAAATACTTGGAGTGATTAATCGTTAGTTTAGCTCCTTCAATATCACTAGTGAAGCAAACATGGAAAAAAATGGCAAACTAATTGCAAACAAACAGAAGCCAGAAAGATTAATTACGAATTATTCGCAATCGATGTTTTCCCTAAATTATCTATGTGTGTATATATAATTATTTATTACATTGACGTGCATCTTTGAAATTTTTATGATTTTTACTTTTTGCGCAAATCATCATAACTGTGCTCTAAAAATTTTTACAAAAAGATAGAAAAGAATATTAAGTTTAATATTTTTGCTGAACATTCGCTTGGAAGTCGACATGAATATCTTACAAAATACCCTGTATAGTATATGCTATGCATTTATACGCAATTATTTGACCTTGGCAGTGGCAGATGCTTCTCAGGCAATTCGCGCGCAAGATTAGAGAGACCATTCATCGTTATACGCAAGCTTTTTTTTTTGACCCTCGGAAATACCAGTTTCACCGCGTGACATTCTGCCATTCGGTATTTCCATTGTAGTTTTAAACACAACATCTTTATTGCTTGTCGCATGTCCGACTTCCGCGAAGATTCCTTTTTCTTCCCCCTTGAGCCTCGCTTCAGGATTCAAAATTACACTAATGATGCAGCGACAGTCGACTTTTGCTTTTGACTTAATCCACGACCCACGCGTCGTACGGCACCTGGGCAAATAACTTCTCCACGAAGGTCGTCATCACTTGTACCAACTTCCGTCTGAGATCTGGTTTCATCTCTTTCAGTAATTCTTGACTGTTCGTGTTGATGAAGAGATTTAGTGCTGCCACTGTAAAAAAAAAGAATATTTGAATGTTAAAATTTAAGGCTTCTTTTTTTTGGCCATCTAAATTTTCAATTTGTTGTTGGAATCTTTTGTAACGAGCACTCAATCAATGATCAAGGTTACAAGAGTATGTATTTATTCTGATTTTCTCAATTTAAAAATAATATAAGTAATAATATTATGGAAAGAAAGAATGTTAAATATAAACGATTAAGATATATGTATAATCAAGAGATTAGAGAACCGAAGAAGCTAATAAAAGCCGGATAAATATTATTATTTTGCTTTTATATATTATATTATTGTATTTTTTGTATGCATATATGTGTGCGTTGGAATTGTAAAGATTTTTATTCTTCAACGTTTCGCAAATATTGAAACACTTACGCAATATGCTATTGGAGTCGCGCACATTTTCGACTCCCATCTTGATACTTTGTACGCTGAAATCCATTTTTAGTTGCTGCAATCTAAGATAACGACGGCCTTCAACCAAGAACGGCTTTGCTCTAATAAAAACCTTGGCCTTGACACCCTCTGCAAACACAAGAATTTGTGTGAAATTGTGAAGGATAAAAAGTGAATGCTATATGCATAAGGGATTAGAGGGGCAGACCGCAATGAATTTACATAAATTACAGCAAACGTGTGGCTGACGTGCTTTGCTTTAATAATAGCTACTCTATTGTCAATGACAAATCAAACAAAAGTGGTAAAATAATTATAAATTAAACAAATGAATTTTCAACATATTTATACAGTTTACATCGATTATTTTTATAATTGTTTTGTAAAACTACATGTAGTCTAAATGTTATTAATAATTTTTTTTATGCAATAAATAGAATTGGGTAATAAGTATAATAATTTCTAAGTGTAATAATTTTTAATTATTAAAATTATTAGTGTCGAGCATATTACTTATAAAAATTATATAATTGCAGGTAAAAAGTACGACTTATGTGTCGCGCTGTCTTTAAGAAAGCGCGCATATCATTCAAAAAAGAGTGTGCCGTCTCACAGCAAGTGAGTATATCTTGTTGCCATTCGTAAGGAGTTCAATATCAAAGATCAGTGATCGTCAGTACACCGCAGTATTAGCGGCGAACATTGTCAAGGGTAATAAATAACATTTTTTTACATAAACATTTTTAGTACAATCATAATTAATTATTCAATATTGTTTTATGCGATAAATTTTAAATTGATTGTACTTGATAAAAGATAATGTCTATATTACAATTGCTTAAACTTGCTCGAATGTGTGTATACACAGTTTATACTATTATCTTTAACTGTTTGGGATGTCATGAAATGGCATTTACTGCGACAAACGCAATTCATTGATAATAAATGTATATTGCGCAGACGGTGAAAGTTACTGCAATCACAACATGCTCGCGGTGGCATTTTACGAGCGGACGGCGAAAATTGATCTGCATATGTTTTAAATAAATACATAATTAATGCTATTAATTATGAACTATAAAAATATTAATATTAATGCTATTAATATTTTTATAGTAATATATAATATATACATGTTTTACGTAGTCGTATTTTATATAACAATTAACACAGTCGTATATCAAATATGTTACGCTATTGAACAGCGTAATTAATTCATTGTATTGTTCCAGGACTTACCGTACTCGCCCCAATAATCGCCAGCTCCGCTAGCCTGGACTAGGATCAACGTTCCGGTAGAACGGTATCTAGCACCCGCTCTAATTTTTGGAATGCTGAAGGCCAACTGTAACTGCACCTCGTCATCACTCAGTCTCGTCCTAAGGCCTGTTATTCGCAGAGAAGATACACCTCTTGCTGTAATATTTCTGAATTGCGCTCTGTAGCCGTTCGGGCCGCCTCCCAGCGCGATGTGCAACTCGTCCAGAATAATTGGTTCTACTTCTGGGTAACCTAGTTGCGGTAGACCTGGAAAAAGAAGTTGAAACGTAGTAATATGCTTCGTCGCAAGAAACGTAGTTCTTCCAGCGTAATAAAACTTGCGCGCAATCTTGCAAAACTCGAAGTTCTCAAAAATCTCAACTTTTAATTATTATAATTAACAATAACTGAATCGTTGCAATTGAAACAGTTTGATCTACAGAAATAAATAATGTTTTATTTTTATCGACAGATTAATGTAATATCAATTTTTCCGTTTATTAATCAATTTTGTAATTTTTATTTTACAAAATTGATTAATTTGAAAAATGAATTTACAATAGCTTCTCTCTAATACATTGTTGGTAAGAAAGCTATTGCTCCCGCACCTGGAGCAATACCATGAAATGAGTAGAATGTAGGACACTGGGTGACCATTCGAATACACCGTTATAACCCGCATCCATCGTTAAACCACGTGGTTGTGAAACCGGTCAGTTTCAGACTTTCAACTTTCAGTTTATTTACTAATCACTTGTATTATCATAAAGTTTGGCACTTTTCTCAAAATTTCGAGTATATAAAAAAAGGATAAATTATAACAAAACTTTAACTAATTTTATTTATTTAAAATTTTATTTATTTAAAATTTTATTTATTTAAAATTTTATTCTAAAAATACTGTTAACAGTTGAAAAGTAACAATTTACATCCATTGAATTCGATTAAATCTTCAAATTATCAAAATATTTTATCAAAAATGTTGCATATGCTAATAGTAACGGAATTGCCAACATTTCCTGCGAACTACGCAAAATAAAAAAAAAATTGAAAATAGAGAAGTGCGCGAGCGTACGCTTCAGCAACCGCAAAGTTCAATTATCTGTTACCTTCACTTGGTACGTGAAACATAGACTGCACTGTTCCAAGATTCTTTGCACATACTATGTACATATAAGTTATTATAATAAGAGTCACATTGTTGTCACAGTGAATGTCACATTGTTTTAAAATAAAAAAAATTAGAAGAAATTTATTTTAACTTTTATCTTATATGCGCTCGAATTCTATTTTTAAATTAGATAGAATCTTCTAATATATTTAAAATACAAATATGCAATCAAATTCAGAAGTTGGAAATAAAAAACAAAAAATTCTAGAAAATAGAAGGGAACGCCTTTTACAAAATCGTGTCCACTTTTTTAAATAAAGCATAACGCGCACTAATCTTTTATACTAAAAGTTTACAGACGCGCTCTTAGACTATCAGATTTAATAACATTTTTTATCATAACTCATATAGCTTCGTTTTTTGCTTCAAAACTCGTGTTGCGTGAATGACTAGCTGAATTATAATTTTGTCACTTCGTATGCGCATTATATTATAAAATCATACAAAAAAGTTATCGATTGCTTTACACTGATAAAGCTCACCTTGACGAAAGCGTTCGACGAGTACATTGGCCGTTCTGGCGAGGCAAGCTTCTAGCCTCTGATCGTTCCTGGAGCACGGTTCCAAAAATTCTAAACCTCTGTACTTGCCAATAGCCTGGACGCCGACCAGCAACAAGCACGCGTAGCACAATAGCGCGGCACCCCTCATTTCTTCGTTCAGCAAGAAAATTCACGTACTTTCTTTTTGTCTTCACGATCAACTTTGTGATCAACTTTGTGATCCGGTATTAGCTGGCGAACCGCGCAACTCGATCAGGTTTCTCGACGAAGAATGATCGGTTGGCAGGGATGTACCCAGCCTTATAGGCCACCTTGACATTGCCCCCCCGCTGTACTAGCCTTGAACACGAAGGAGAAAAAGAAGAGAATCAAGTTGTCGAGCAAGACACTGAGTCGGTCGGATTCTTTGATGTTCTTTGTACATACAATGTATAGGTCCAGAACAAATTGAATGTTAAATAAAAAAAAGATGTGAATATACGTCTGTGTCAATATACAAGATCGGTTCAAGATCATAACTTTTAAATTAGAGGAAAGGCGCCGAAATTGACATAAGTCTCCTAAAAGGAATTACTCTTACTTTTCAGAAATTGAATATTACATTTTATTATAATTCAAGCGAACGTGATCTATTCAATTAATGGACTTGTTAAAAATTCAGAATTTATACATATATTCTTTATATGTATGCTAAATTAGCTTGTATAGACTTCTTCAGGGTTCGAAAGTTTTGCTTTTATGACTTTCTTTGTACTAAAGAAAGGTATCTTTTTTCATGATATCAAGTTATTTCGCATGCTTCTAGCTTTCTAAAAGTATTTATGATTCTTTCGTGGCGCGATTTGGCAGATTTAGTCAAAATAACTTGAGACAAAAATTATTTGTCTTTTTTTTATAATTTTATATATGTATATATAAATTTCTTATTCCCTTCTTAACTACAAGTTAACTACAAGTTTTCAATAAAATCGCAATTTATATTAAAATTTTATTATTGAATTAATTTTAAAATCAACGTAAATAAAGTTATGCCATTGCTACGATAGGTTTTGTCGTGCAACTTTCTTAGAGAGAAAAAACAAAGGAAGCGGTGCAAATTTCATAGAAGATTGTTTGTGACTTTTACCGCTAATTTCAAATAACCGCAACAAACAACGGGATATTGAATTCTTCTAACAAGCCGGCTTCGTCTCGTTCATACAATTTATCGCCAAGAATATCCCGAAAAAAATGAAAAAACGTTGATTATTTAATGTATCAGCGCGCTTACTTTCCCGATAATTGCAGACATTTGTTTACAATTTTTTTTTATCCTCGCTGATATTGAAGTAGCACGTGCTTAATGATTGGAAAAGATGTCTAAAAAGGGGTTTTCTCCACTTCTCATAATTAGCGAACCAAATAAGTAAGCAATTGCAGGTACATTGCGTGCATTAAATCGAGTATGCTTTATTGATTCAACTGAATAATCTATAAAATTGCGCAATTTAACTGTATAAGCGCTTAGCTTGAATTTGAAAGCATAGCAAAAGTTGAATGGGGGGCATCTCCAGTTTACAATACATATATGTAGCTGCCGATAAAAATGTGCGACGAGTACAGGCGAAAGAAAACGTACGATAGACGTCAAAGTGGACGTCATGGAACAACCGAAATGAGAGTAGGGAGAACGTTAAGCACCGTTAATCGCCTTGGTCACATTCATTTTTAAGTCACGTTTCCGATTCGCTTGCGCGCATATTCGCGGAAGATCGTCATCCGTCACCGATCAGGCTTCCTGCGTCTAAACGTGAGCAAGAAACAAAATCGGGAAGATAGTCTGCAAATGATTCTGAGAAACGCATAATTTTATAGCGGATCTCCGAGTAATTATTTATAAAAAGACATAATTCTATCAAATTTTTTATTTATTAAACGTGTTAAATCAATTAGTTTTGATAATACAAGCTTATGTGCGAAATTTTGTATCTGTAATGTTTTACTAACTAACGTGATTTTTATGCAATGTGTTACATTTGAAATAATTGTTTTTACATTATAATATTTTATTTTATACACTTTCTTTATTTTATGCATTTTATGCATATTATAGTATGCATAACAAATAACCTTTTTAAATTTGGACACATATTTTAACTTATGCAATTTTTTTTCGTATAAATTATTAAGATAAATTTGTACTTTGTAAAAAATAGCTAATGTGAAAATTATTTAAAAATTTTTTTCGCAATGTACGGCTTTCTTGAATTCATGTTATTATGTATATATATTATGTATTATTATATATATATATATTCCACATTGTTGTAACGAATAAGTTGAAACGAGAACGTTGCGCTCATTAAAATCATCGGAGTGGAATGATACAATCGAATTAATGTGATTGTTGATTATAAATTCAGCGCTTCGGTTATTGGAAATTAATTAGCATTATACGTTATGCATAAAATTTTAATTCGCATATCAATATTCTTTGGCCCAATGTCTCACGATGTGTCCGTATATTCTGTATAAGAGGTCCCGTATAAGAGGTTGATGACCACGGCCTTTCAAAGTAGATTTCTATTTAGAAAAAGAAATATCCCCACGTTTTGTTTTTGATTAAAACTAACTTGCAATATAAACTCGATATGCAACATTTATAAGTGACAAAAATATAGTTGATTTGTATATAAAAGTTGATTTGTATATATAAAGTTATCCAGTGGTAGCACGTAGATTATTTAAAAAGTTTGCAGAATAAAATGTAAATAATATCAGATTTTAGAGAATCCCCGATTAAAAATTTCTGAAATCATTAAAGCTGCGATAATCTTGGATAAAAGTGCATTTTATATCTCAACAATTGACGAATTTTGTGTACGAAAAAGTTTTCCGCAAGATAGAAGTCGCGTTTGCTATCAACAAGACAATGCGCGTCCTCATATAAATGTTTCAAAAAGAAAAATCAATGAAGAATTGAAGATTTATTATCATATCTAACTTATTTGCTTGGTTTTTTAGGAAATTAGATTAAAAAATAGAAATAATTTTAAAAAAGATGTAAACCGTTTTTCCGTTTTATTTTAGAAATTTATTAAATAATTTATGTAAGATACATAACACAATGATATAAAAATTATAAAAAAAAATATATATATATTTATTTAATGTAGCTTCATATCTTATATGCTAATTTATATTGATTTTTATGAAACTTATTATAGTGAAACTTATTATGTAAACATGACAAGAGAATTGCACGAAATTTCACAAAATCCATCTAAATAAATTTCGCTTTCTTATGTAACCACGGGCTGTTTTTGAACTGGCAAATAATTTACTTTCTTATTTATTAATGAAGATATGTGTTTCATCGATTCAGCTTTAATAATACTTCAAAGCTGTAATTGATCTAATTTATAGACAATTTCTGTTTGAATATCTGCTCGAAGGGAAAATTGCGGAAGGCTTTGTCGAAGATTTCCGTAAAAGCGGTCGAAACGAGTTCGTTGATCAGACGTCTCGTGATCACGAAACCCGGTTGCCAGGCAGAATTGATTATTCTATCTAGCATATTTTCGATGTATTCCCTGCCGAATACAAGATTTGTAATGTGGAGTTTTAAATCTCTAATGATCTGAACATCCATCTGGGCGCGCACTTTCTGTCCTGGAACTTTGGTCACAGTGGTTGTTTGTATTAGATCATCTGAAAATATTTTCTACATCAACAAGAATACAAATAATAAAAAAGCTACTTATTCTTTACTGCAGCAATATTGAATTATTTTGTTTTTAGTTTATATTCGACAGTATTACCGATAAAAAATATGTCGAATGTGACTAAAATGAAAAATTAAATTTGACTCTTTTATAGTTATTTTGAAAAAAAATACTTGCAAATAAATTAGAATTTTTTCAAATTTTAAACTCTATTTTAATTTTTATGCCATTTTTATATAAATAGTAACATACGTGTAGGAAATAAATTTATTAATCATATATGAGTTTATTATTAGTACTTACACAGAGTGAGTGTAAATCTTCCTTTGTTAGCAATAGAAGAGCTGAAAAGTGCGCCTTTAAATTCGTAATTACCTGTCAACGCTTTTTCCGGGAAACTTTGCGTATACACAACCTAATTAATACAATATTTAAAATTATTTAATAAGTTAATTTTTTGCTTATTATATTATACGAAAGTTTATCTCAAAATATATTTATAATTTGCAATATGCGAGATAAATGCAATACAAGAATATCTCAGGTAGCACATGTTCGTTTCATATACGTTTCTTATATGTATCTAATGTTTTTTAACCGTCGAACATCAATAAGAAACGTTTTCGGAACCATAATTTAAGAAACGTTTTTCCACGTTTTAAAAATATTTTTAATTTTTACAGAAATAATAACAGGAAAATTTTTTAAAATTTAATTTGTGTCTTAATTTTCTTCATATATTTTTCTTTAGTTGTTTAAATGCTTTTTAAGAATTTAATGTAATAAAAGTTACATAATATATTATAAGTTTAATTAATAAAAATAATTTAGTATAAGATTTTTTTTAAATATTATATTTTACTATATTTGTGATATTGATATTATGATATATTGATATTTACTACATCAATTTACTATGTCATTGTGATGAATTAAATACTATATTTGTGATATTTTATTGTAACATTGCAAAAAATATATTAACTATTGCATTTATATGAACATATACATTTTTTTTCATAAATAAAAGAAAAAAAATGTTTTTTCCTTTATTCGCGAAAAATATATAATACACTTAAAAAAATGATCTTGCAATAATAGCTAAAATTTTCTAGGTGTAAAAAATTAACTAAAACAGATAAATGATTAGCAACTGTTGTGATATTGCATATGTAATTACTTAATCAGTTTAGATGACAGAAACAGAATATATATCTGTATTATTTGTGAACTTTAAAAAGAAAGTTTCTCTAAAACGTCTATCTATATAAGATCAATCACGTGTTAGATCATGCAATGAATAACATTTAGCAATGGTACCTAAATTTTTCAGAAGCTATTGCTAGAACATTACTGCTATAAATTCTATATGTGACAAACAATGTTTTTACAGATACGAAAAATAGCGATACATTCTTGTTGCGATATCTTGAAATCTAACTACATCAGCGAAATATTTTTTTGAGTGTATATAAAATGCATTATATATATACAGGGTAATTCAAAATAACCTGATGTCCTTGCAATGCCATATTTTTGAGCGAATTCTGAGACGATTTTTCCTTTTACAAAATTTTGTCTGAAGCTTAGTTTTCGAGTTCTAATTGAAAATAGTTTGCTACTTACGAGTCCGATACAACGGACAGGCAGGGACGGTGCAATGCGTCATGAGACGATAGTAAACACTTGACAGTCTCATTATACGTTGCGCGTCCCTGCCTTCCCGTTGTACCGAACTCATAAGTTGCTACCTGTTTTCAATTATAACTCGAAAACTAAGCTTTGGACAAAATTTTGTAAAAGGAAAAATCGTCTCAGAATTCGCTCAAGAATATGGCATTGCAAAGACATCAGGTTATTTTGAATCACCCTGTATATAAATGCTATGTGTGTGTACCAAGCAGCACAAATGTCTTTTAGATATCTAAAAGATAACTAGATGTCCAAAAAATTTTAGACATTTTTTAGATGTCTTTAAGCATTTATACACAATAATACATGTATGTAAATGTATTATTTTATTAGTTCCGTGAAAAAAAATTTATTTTTTTTGCACGTGGATTAAAAAAAACCATTTTTTTGATCGTTTCTTAAACGTTTTTTGTCCAAAAATTACGTTTCTTGTAACGTTTTTTGAATTGACATTTTAACCAATGAGAAACGTTTTTAAGAACCGTTATAAAACGTTTCGAAGAAACATTTGTGAAACGTTTCTGAAACGAACATGTACTAACTGGGATGCGATAAGTAGCATGATATTTTTATGTACATGTACCTTGTTGTTTTTTAAATCGGAGGTGAATTTTGTCACTTTACTGTTGGACCATCCGGTTTCAGTGACATTTCGAAGAATTAAAGTAAAGCCAAAATTTGTAACCCCTCTCGTGGCCGTTATCTCTTTGGCAAAAAACGGATCAAACGGGGGCACATTGTATTTCGGCAGACCGGTTTTGAAATAAGGTCGAATCGCATTTAATCCTTCTCGTATACAGACGTCGAAACCCAACATATTAGGATGACAGTTTTTAAAATGATCCTCTAAAAACAACACATGATTGACAGTCGATTTATCGGTTAAATATACATTGCGTTATGAAAAAGAATATATAAAAAAAATCATTAAAGTTAATGATTCAAGAATTAAGTCTATGTGTACACGCGCACACAAACTAAAAGATTTAGAGAAAAAAACAAATTATCGTAAAAGTAAAAAAGTAAAGAGACGTTTTTCATTTAAAAAGTTCTTTAAAATATATTTTATGCGAGTCATTTTGATCTACATTTCCTGTTTTTTTACTTTCTGATTTATCTACAATAAGTTGAGAATGAGATATTTTATTTTGATCTCAATGGAGAACAATGTTGTGAAAAATTCACAAATAAATTGTTCTTAAGAACTGAATTAAGTTTAGTGCGCATTAGCAGTGGATTATAGTGAGAATTTATTAATTAGCATTGAATGTAACACGCGCAATTGCACATAATGGAACTTTCACTTTTAAACATCTCGGTTCTGATAACATGTTACACTTTTTCTTGAGAACATTGATTCCTGTATTCCACATTCTCTTACAAAATAAGATCATTATGTAATATGTTAGCGAACAGACGATTTTAATTGATTGGTTACATTTTTTTTAAAACTGGTTTTAAAAATGGTTCTTGAAGCGAAACTGTAATGCAGCCTATAAACACTACTTTGTTTTGTAAATTCATTACGACACTTCAGGTAAAACTGTATTTTCTTTTTTTGATTATGCTAGAGCACAACGCACAAGAGAATATATCGCAACGATGTACGAAGCTTTCAATGAAAGTAGCACTAGATTCTTAGGTTATGTAAACGCGAACAAGAAACTTATTTATTTAGATTATACGGTTCCTTACGTCGGCAATTTTATTTAAATAAAATATTTTGATGGAGTGTTTTATTTCATCCTCAAACTCTGTTTTCTTTGACCGATCAGTGAAAGTAATATTTCGTGTTGACCCCTATCACTCGCTGTATTTTTTTTTTTTAATACACAATCATGCAATTTAACGTGACGCATGCTAACTGATTACGAAAGTTTCGGCAACTGAGAGAAATTTCAGGAGAAAATGATCGCAGAGTGTCCTATCGAATGCTTCATATGTTCACACGTTATTTTTATAATTCAGCTAAATCATAATATAACAAAAAATACAATAGATTTTAGTAAAATAAAAATTACCATGATGTAGTCACTTTACATAAATAATTTCTAAATTTAATTTATTAATTTCAAGAGAAAAATTGAAAAAATTTTAATTCATAAAAGAAAGACAAAGAAACTTATTGAAATTATGTAATAAAGTATTTCGAGATAACTAATAAAAACATTGAATTCACTTAAATTGTAACAATCAGAATATTGACATGAGCACTAATTTATTATATATTCCATCACTGCACACCACTGCATTGAATTCTATGCAACTATTATGCACTTTCTTTGTCGATACGGAGCATGGAAATCACTGGCATCAAAATTCCTCGCGCAAACAGTCATTAAAGTCAACGGACGTACTCACCGAAATCGTCGGCCGTCGAAGTGTACATCAGCAGCGCAAGCAAGAAGAATATCTTCGGCTGCATCTTTCCGTTTGATCTCTCTCTCTCTCTCTTTCTTTTTTGTCTCCGTGTAATGAACCTGAAGTACGCCGAAGAGACTCTTTTTGACACTTACGATCAACAATGATTTACTCGGAACACCATGCGGACGAGAAATGCGTTCCTTATACTTTCACCGTTTGCAATACATCTGATGTGAGAAGAGACGAAACCTCATCCGAGTTAAGAATTTTTACTGGATCTTATTATACAATCACACGAGTGTACAGTAGTAGGAGAACTTTACGAAGTCAACAATATATTTCGAACAGGAGTGGGAACTACCTCTAAAAAGTCTCTTTTCCCTCCCGTTCAGACATTCGGGCAAGTTTTCTTCGTGCGAAGGAACGTCCACGATAGAAGGAGAAAACGGGTCTCGTGCAACGGATTACCTAACATTGCATTGCTGTGCGCGGTTAAAGGCGGAACAATTTGTAACAGATTATGGAAATACAAACAAATGTAAAAAAAATTTTGATACACATATCTTGTGCACGAGATATTTTTTTATATTACACGTAAAAATTATGATCTAGTTGCGACAACATTTTGCGCTAAACTTTTTATGAATTATCTTTTCGTATTAAATTTATACCTTGAAAATTTATTTTGAAACAATAGAAGTTCGGAATTTAAAAAAATGACATTTTATATTATTTATGTACATTTTAAATGCAAAAATACTCAAAATTTTAAATAGAAAGTAAATTAACTTTTAAATATTTATCAACTTTGATAAAAAGGAGCTAATTAATTTTCACAGCCACAGTATATTTTTTATTGTGCAAAACATTTTTGAAGACTTTAAGTATTCACATTCTTATTATGCAGTTACAAAGCACGCTTAAATAATCAGATAATAAGCATTAAAAAATTCAAATATTAAATGATTCATATCGCTATTTGCTCATTTAAATTTTTAACAGAAGACTCAAGGACGGTGAAGATGTTAATCTCGGCAACGCGCAAGACCTTGGAACATGCTTCGACTGTTATCCTGTAATGCTGTTCTATGGTAGTTCAATGTAATACAAGTTTGCAGATGAGCGAGTCCTTGAAAAATACAAAACGAGAAAAGAGAGAGATATTTGCCTTAAGGGATCATTGCACTTCTTCTACGAGCTGATTGCACATTTCTCTCAGGTAGGTATCATACGTACCATTCACAGGCAAGCATAGGAATATTTTAGCTGTTCTTAGAAATTGCACATTTCCTTTGCGAGCATTGTGTTTATCTCAATTAGAGGAGAGAAAAATCTTTTTTCAGAAAAATCTTTTTATGTGGCTGTAATTTTTGTTTAGAAAATAGATCTATCGTAAAATTATCATAAAATTAGATTGTTAAAATAAAATTTCCCCCTACTGTGTATTTTTTTTCTCAACTGTACATTTTTTATATTATAAGAACATACATTACATTCTTTATACCTTACTGAGAATTTCTGTGAATATTTTTATTATCGTAAAGGTAAGTGAGAGAGAAATGATGCAAGAAGAGAAATGTGCAGCAGTTGGATCTCGAAGACTGCGTGCTTGGGAGTGCTGACATGCGATTGTTTACATTCAATATAACCTAAGAATTATAGGAAAGAACGCTATTCTACTTATCAATTAACTCTTTTTGGCGCAATCAAAGCTAAGAGCATAAAATTTATTTTTTATTTTTTAATATTGTACTTTGCATTATTTTTGTATCTATTATTTAAATTCGATTGATTGCTACGTTATAATTATAATTATCTTCGTGTCCACAACTACAGTAATGAATAATAATTTATATTAAACTGATTTTGTTTTATTTTATCATAATTTTTTTCAAAATGCATTAACTGATTCTCAGAACTAAAATGTAGACAATGTAATGACAAAATTTATTCAAAATTTGCTTTGAAATGTTAAAAAATTTATTTCTTTTTATTATATTTGAGTAATAAAATGTTTTAAGTTTTATTATCAAATATTGTTAAATTATATTTTGCTTTTCCAACACATTAGAATAATTTTTTTATGAATCACGGTATGTTTTTTTCGTCTTACATATCTTAATCGTTTATAGACATCCAAAAAGTATTACACAGTCTTACATGACTTACTTAAAAAATTCATTGCACATTAATGCTCTCTGATTGCGACCTGAATAAAAAGCAGTATGCAACACTGTGTATAAATGATGACAATAAAAATGCAGATGCCTGAAAAAGAATATTATCGATTCACATATTTTATATAAAATATGTGAATAATGTTGACGGCATTTTATAAATTTCTAATGAAAAGAGCTAAAAGTGTACTAAGTAACATATTTGCAATAATTTGATGGAAAAAAATTGTAGCTAAATTTCTGAAAAAGAAGGCTGCAAGCTTTTGAAAGCAAAACTTTCATTTAAAAATATTAATTTAAAAAAATTTATTATAACTGTGTGTGATCTTAAAATTAAAATTTTGTTGTTAACTTTGTTCAATTAATTTATAAATTAATTATAAATTATAAGCTAATTATTATAAGCTATTTGAAGCAAAGGCATCATCGATAACAGAGCTTGAAATTTGAAAAATAAATTTTTAAACTTCCAAATAGTTATTCCAAAATTGCTCTACAATAATTATTTCTTATAAATTTATATAAATTTGTATTTTATCATTCTTGCCCGATTTTTATATTCTACGATCGAAACAGTAGGTAATATCGTTATTCTTCAACTACCTCCGAACCCTTGAGACCCCTTTACTCGTCACGAGAATTTATCCACAGCTGTCGGTCTTTAACAGTAGCTTCTCATCGATGCGTATAAATGCATAAGAGAATTAATATAAATAAATTACCGAACATGCATTCATAGTTCAAGAGTCATCGCATTATCTATTATAATATGGCTCAATTTGTCAACATAATTTTATTTTTTAAACAAAGTTTAATTGAAAATGTAATTTAAGAGAAACTCGTTTATCTATTAGTATGTAGTTTATTATGTTTAGTTTACTTATATTATTTTTTATTATGCAAACGGATTTCGAATGTTATTTGCATGAAGAAAGTAAAAAAAACTTATTGTAATTCTTATGTTTATTAAACGCAATATATCACTATCTACACTTGCTTTGTAGCGTTTAAATTTGTAGTAAACTTTTAAAATTTATATCTTATTGTTACTTAATTTTCTATACAATATATTACTAATCGCAAGTTCCGTCATTCTCAACATGCGATATTACTATCTAAAATGTGTCTCATGTTTATACACTCAAAATCGAATATATTTTAATGAATAAATTTTGTCTTAATATCAGTTAATACGTAGTTAATGCCTCAATTTTTTTTAAATGTATTAATAAATTTTAAATCTCGAACTCGAAAAAAAGCTTTTATAATAAAATTTTGCTGATTGACATTTGTCTTTTAAAATTATGCAATTTTTTTGTTGCATAATTTATTCTGTTGATAAAAACAACAAAGATTTGTTAGATAATATATGCTGCATCATTCTGTGTTCATTATTCTAAAGTTAGAGACAAGTTGTTTGACATAAATTTTTTTTGTTCAATTTTTTTTATGACGAATGAATCGTGACACATGTGTTCATTCTATCGAAATCTTTTTGCATAATACAACCGGCTAAATTGCAGTCAAATGCAAATGACTTGTTACAACATTATACAAAGGACACACTGTCACAACGTCCGCAATTGCGTTTTTATCATGTACATTCATTGTTTGCATAGCGTGTGAAATCATTGCCTTGCTCAGGAGTCTTCCCAGATTTGTAAATTTAATCCGAAAGTTCAATATCATTCATTCATTCAAAATACAAGAAATAAACGGAATTATTTTAAAAAGTCTTTTATATTTATATCAGAAAAATTTAATTTAATTGATATTTCTTTTTTGTCAAATTTATCAATAACCAATGATGCCATGCAGAATTGTTCGCAAGCAATGTCGATATAAAAATTAAATAAGTTTCAATTAATTAAAGAATTGTACTTGGACTTTGCGCAGATATTCTAGATAGATAATAAAATAGTCAATGAAGTTTTTTGCCAATTTTAATATGTGGCAAATACGCAGTATCGACGCGTTTTTCTTTTTGCCATTGGCATTTTACCGGCTTACGCGAGCGTGCGGCGATTTATTTGCAGACAGAGCACAGACGCGTTTACATGTCTTCCAGATACCAATACGTCGTATTGGTCTAGCCGTTTCCACAATCCGCGCAAGACTTGTCTGCTGTTGCAGACGACGAAGAAGGCGCAAGTGCATATTGCAGCAGTGAAAGTATTCGCGTGTGCAGCTACGATCTGCCATCTGTCAATGCCCTCTCTTCCATAGTCTTGCTTTAACAACGTCATTTAGCCGAGATTCGCGATTCAAGTCTTTAGTTGAACTCGTCGTCGTATCTAGCGATCTCCATCCGATCCCGCGCCTAGTTCGCAAAGAGATTCGGTAAAACCGCAGGTTCCGAACTTCACAAGCGAGTCTCAATAATTGAAACTTTCGCGAAGTCCTCATCGTTGAAAAATCATGACCAAGAGGCTGTGGGCCATCCTCGTCGTCGTCGTCGGCTGCACGGCAACTCTCTCCTCTGACTCCAATCGTGAGTAATCAAAAGTGTTCTCCGCGCATTTAAGATTATTGCCTTTAAGCGGGTCGCTAAACACCCGTGAAGTTAAAATTATATTTGAATTTAGGTAAGTACCATGGCATAATCAGTTTGGTGGCGACAAATAAATCGTCTAATGATTTATCGCAGTAAAGTGTTAAAAAAATCTGATTACAATAGAAAAACGTAGCAGATAACGGCGTTTAAACAGGCCGAATATAGTATTTAAAATAGCCGAAAGAGCAGTATGCAATTCACGATTTCGAAAAATTGTGATTAAAAAAAATTAATTATTTTACATATTAAAAAAATACTTTATTGTAAAAAAAAAGTAGGTTCTATTATAATTATTTGCAATTTTCCACACGCAAGTCCGCCGCAATGTCGCAAAAGCCGGATCTCCATTTCCGCAGAAAATGGTGTAATCTTGTAGACAGGCATGTTCAAAGCTCACGACACAAGATTCTTTAGTATTTATTTAGGACGAGTTTATATCGTGATTAATCTAATATAATTAAGGCAAAATTAATCTTTATATGTATGTATATGCTTCATTGATCCCCTTAGAGTTACAATTTTCTCCACAGCCATTTCTTACACACTATTCTTACCCAATTAATCTTTATACATTTAATCATAAGTTTGCAAGATTGATCTAAAAAATATGATATAAAAAATATAATGATAAATGTAATAAATAATTACAATATGTATGTGATACATTCCTATCTATAAATATATTCATTAGTATACTGATCATTTTAACTTGCACAATCTTATAAAACCTTGTTAAAAAAAACCTGTTGGCATAAATGATCTTTTTGCGGCTGTAATCAATTCTGCTGCAGTCAATTTGCAACGCTGCTCTTGAAGGTGCATTTTGTCATGAGATAATACTTTCACTTTTAACGCGACTAGTGGTTAAGACGTTTTTTTTCTCGTCGACGCTTTTACTCATTCGACCTGGAACGTCAAATTTCTCCTGCTGTACAATAAAATCAAAGAAAAATAATTTAAAAAATTTATAATTACTCTTTAGAAGTTGAAAAACATATGACTAAACGTCGTAATTGAAGCCGATGTGTACAGTAACATTCTGTTCGCAGCCGAGTATGTAAAGCAATGTTCCAGAAGCGATCCCAAACTGATAACTTGTCTGATCGACGCTTTGCACCATCTGCGACCTTATTTGAGCGTCGGAATACCCGAAATCGAGTTGCCCTCGGTAGAACCGTTTCGTGTAAGTTCAATCTATTTTAATCGAAAAATCGCAATATTACATATGTAGTTCACAATGTCATATTTAGCACAAATTATATTCATAAATTTCACTCAAAGAAATTTTTCAACATTATAATTTTTCATACGTTTATCATTATAAAAAAATTCTACCAATACTTTTTAGCTATTTTTAATTGTACATTTATTATTTTTAAAAGCAAGTACGTTTACAGATAAATAATTAAAAGGTTTGAAAGAGCTTCAAAATGCAACATATAATTAAACATTTAATAAATATTATATAAATATAAAAAAATTAGGATATTCTTACAGAGTTTTCCTTAGGCTTCAAAAAATTACAAAACATCCGTCAAATATCGCAGTTTAACATTAAAAAGATATCGTGATAAATTGGGCTGTATAATAATTTAAATACGCGAACTTGTGGCAATTTTCGTCGTTATGCATTCGCTACCACATTTTGTTAATCTCAACAGATGGACGAGCTGACTCTCTCTCTGACAGGTGGTACGAACGGTTATAAGATTCAGCTACGCGACCTCTACGTAAAGGGAGCAAGTAACTACACAGTAGAGGACATCAAGCTTGGCTCACCCTTCCAAGCTATTGTGCGAATGCCGGCCCTTATATTAGACGCGCATTACTCCAGGTAGATAAATTTGGCTGTTTGTGAAACCACCGTTGAAGAAAGTGGAATATGCAAGTAGAAGTAATTTTTTTAGTATTTCAAAATAAAATAAAATCAGTTTTTTCTAAATCTGAATAGACCCCGGCAACGTTTAGCGAAAATTAATTCTTATGTACATATTTAATGAATTTTATTTTTGCATGTGACAATTACCAAATTTTTAATCAATTTTATTAATTTTAAAATTAATAATATATAAGGCTCAACTGATTACTAAAATCAATTAAAATCAATAAGAGCGTAAAGAGCCACAATGCTAGATCTTCGTGCGAAGGTAAAGATACATATATTCGTTAAAATTGTTTATATCAATCAAACGTTTTGACCTGCCATCAGGCCTTCTTTAGTGTACATTAATAAAAATACAAATAAAACGGAAAATTTGCTCGCAAAATTCAACATAATGTGAAAGATGTGGAAAACGTTAAATTCATTCTTTCCACCCGATAGTAGTTCAATAGAAAATAAGTTAGTATCGAATTCAATTCATGTTGAAGCGCTAGTCCACGTAGAGAGGACGAGGTGGAAAAACAGAGAAGAGATAGTCTTAACATTTTACAAGTCAAGCTCTTAATCAATTTATTCATTTTATTTCAACAACAGATTGCAAAGAGCACGCAACTCTAGTAATTGCATTTTCTTATGATTGACATATAATTTTGAATAAAAAATTATTACACACCACACTTGATTAAATTTAATTTTTACAGTTCTGGTGTATTAATAATTTTACCTGCGAGTGGAAATGGTACTTTTCACGCGCGCTTCGGTGATGCTAGAGCTCTAGTCAAAGGAACCGTGTCGACGAGGTCGCGAGAGGAAAAAACTTATATGAATGTCGACAACCTCGATGTTGTGCTCGGAGTGAAAGACGTGCAAATGCGAGTCAGCAAGATCTTTAAAAATAATCGAATACTTAGTAAGCAAATTGCACATAAACTTTCTATTAAATATATAAAATTTTTTAATCATTACTTTTTATTGGCATAAAACAAAGATATTTAGATGCATATAAAGAATTTTATTCTAAAAAGTACGTTAGATATATAATAATAATAACAATTCGGTAAGCATAATGCTAGCAATGTCGGCAGATTGACAGCTTTTTTGGTTAAATTAAATTTGGCTACCTGAAAAAATTGCAAAATATATAAGTCGTTGTGTTTAATGATTTATTTTTATCATTATACTGTTTTTAATTCTTGTCAATTTCTATAGCTGAGGCGATCAATCTCTTTCTCCGAGAAAATGGGCAAGAGGTGCTGAAAGTGATGGAACCGCAGTTGAAGAAGAAGCTATCGTCCCTTTTCGCCGGAATTGTTAACCAACTGCTGCGACATGTTCCAGTGGAATCGTTCCTCTCAGCTTAAGATGTTTTCACATTGTATTTTTATTAGCGATTGTTATCTTTTTCTTACTAAAATTAACGATTAATTTTAAACACACACAAGTAACGGAAACCGAAGAATGCATTATACCATAAAAAATAGAAGAACATATCAGCCTCTTTAGTAGGATTTAAAAAAAGATATGTTTTAATTCTAAAAAAATAGACTGTGATTTTCTTCTAGTATCTTTGAGAATTTATTATTTTGAATATGTGTGTGTGTGTGAAAAGATATTTATGATTTTGTGAAAGAGTAACTTTTTAAGTAATGATTGAAAAAATTTTGTTATCTTATTGAGCAGAAATTATTATGCTATGCAACTGTTTACCTACAAAGTTTCGAGTATGGTAAAATTTAAATGCAGATAATGTAATAATTATACATTATTTTTGCATGATTATTCGCCTGTTCGTAGAAACAATATAATTGTTTAACTCAAACAAAAATCAGATTATTCTAAGAACAAACAATTACCTAAACTCGAAAATTAAAAGATAATTTTCGTTGATATTTTTTTAAGTGCGAGGATGACATATTTTGACCGTAAGTTTAATTGTTGCTTAGATTATAGTAAAACTACAATTTATATATACATATAAATCATCATTAATATATTATACATTAATATATAAGTTTTAAATGTGGTATCTCATAGTTTTAGCACATAATTGATGGGGTATATTGATATAAATAAATAAATAAATGAAATAAATAAAAAATTAATTATTTCTCATTTATGAATATTGCATATAAATTAACTATCCATTATATTTTTTACATAATACAAGTAAATCAAATAAATGTATATCTATTAAGAATATAACAATTTCCATAAATCTTTTTAAAAGATTATAAATAATTAGAAGGAATCATCACGTTAATATTTAACATTTTCTATATTTTGTTTGATATTTTTACATCTGTGCATAAACAATCTCACTAGAGTAAAAATAGCGATAATACGATACTATATAACAATACTAAAAATAATCTACCCAGTAAACAAAATGTTAGCAATGTTAACAAATGGACAACAAAGTTGATCAAATTTTCATCAAATTTACTGTCTGCTCAATTGCTAATATTTGGCCACCTGGATTTTTTTTTACATATTACAATAGTTATACAATAAACTCGCCACTATTGCACTATTTACACGCATGTCGACATTGTGCAAATCAAAATAACATTATCACGGTACGGTGAAAAAAAATTATCACGTCGGGATGTTTGCAGATTTCAGAGCAAGGAACTCTGCATTCCTCTGCGCCGATCTCAAACACAGTCGTCTAAAAGTATTCGCGACTCCAAATGCGGTGCTTCCTCGATTACACTACGTTACAAATGTGCCTTGGCACGAGGAATCATCTTTAGAGGGGTTTCAAGGGAATGTCTTGGAGAAGGAAACCTTTGAGAATATGCGATTGAAAACTTCGGTGACATGGTCGTCCATGTTCTTCGTCATGAACGGCATCATCATTCGATACAACGACGGCCAATATTCGTTCACGAATTTTCGAGCGGCATTATCTGAAAGTAAAAATTTCAATATAATTACAACTTCCAAAGCTGATCTCTCATTGCGTATATGAGCAAATCGATAGGATTCGTAAACTCATTCAACATTATATAACAAGGAATTACAATACACGTATCCGCGTTTCCCATCGAGTAATTGTGGAGGAATTGCTAACGTGATATAACGAGATAACTAGGAATAATGATATGCGGCTATTATACAGTCCAAAACAAAAGGTTATTTAGTGATGTGTTGCATTGAATTGCAAACTTTTTTTACATAATACCTATAAAGAACTTGCAAGAGTGGAATTTAAAAAATTAATCTTTGTTTCTAATAAGAAAATTAATGAAAATCACATTGCAAGTGAATGTGAGTGGGTAGTTTGTTAGCGAAAGAATGTGTTTTGTAAAAGTATTTGAATTTCATGTTTACTTACTGAGGTCCTCGTTACCATTGAACATATCACTGAACCAGATCTCCATTTTTCCAATTTCCGGATGTAGATAGAAATGTTCGATGGTCCATCTATCGTTTGCTACGCCTCCTTCAAAGCCTAACGTGGCTGTAATGTCCTCCATGGTAAGATTGAAGAATCCTGCAAGACAGATAATGAAATAAATTTTTATTAAACATTATCCTACTTTGCTAATATGTTTAATTATTTAATTTGCGTACCATCGCCGCCGAATTTCATCGCTCCAAAAGTTCCATCCGCTTTGTAATTACCCTCGATAAGTGCCTTCGACAATGAAACATCGGCCTCCACTTTAAAGAAATTGTCAGAGCGCTCTGTTCTCACAGCCAGGAACTTGAGTTTTGCAAGTCCATAGGCGTTAACATCTCTGACTGTTATGTCTGCATTCATGTCAGCGTTTTCAAATACTGTTCTTTCTTCCTTTATGAAATACGGATCCAAAACTGGTAGGTCCAGCTCCGGAATACCTTTCAAAAGAGATTAAAGCTCATGAAATAATATGAGAAAGTAAGAAATTAAATGAAAAAATTTAACTTTATTTTTATATGTAAATTGCAATGAATATTATGCAAAAGTTAAGGATTTTAGATGATTTAAGTGAAAATAATGTCAATACTCTAATACCTGCAACTAAGATCGGCCATGCTTCCTCTATCGCAAGTCTCATACAAGACGTATAGTCGGGTGCATCATGATGGCAAGTCTGTATAGCTGCAAAAAGAAGATATGAATGTATGAATATAATAATTAAATAATATTTTATTTGCCTACATTAATTAATTATACTAACTCCACAAAAAAGTAAAACACTTCATGTACGTTTAACACCTTGTAGATCAATAAAAAAGTTTTTCTTATAAAATTTATGATATTTAATTTTGCTATTTTTGCGATTTTTTTTTTTTGACCAAGTTACACGACTTTGAAGCTAAACTTGTATCTTTTACGCCAATGCTACTGCCGATGGTAAACGTTATTTTTCACAAAATGTAGGATTATTTTTAAAATCATGTAACTCGAACAAAAAAATCGTACCAAAATTTAAATAAAGGCGTTTGATAAGTGAAATGTTATGATTTTTGACATTTGTCATAAATTTTACGAAAAAAGTTTTATCAAACTACAGAGTATTGAAAGTTCGTGTCTTTTGAGTTTAGAAGTATAAAAGTAAAAATTTTTTTCAAATTATTAGAAGCATGAAAAAGTATAAACTTCGAACTTTAAAATGCTTTTTCAATTTTTTGTCTATGATAATTTTTCGCCTAGTTACAGGTTTGAAAATTGATCAATTTTAAGCGCCTGAATGTCACAATGCGTCAGAGCAGTGCAGCCGAGAACGGCTGATTGTGCGGCATCGTGCGTATTAATGGCACGCACTCAGCCGCACTACTCTGCCGCGTTGAAACATTTAGGCGCTTAAAATTGACCAATTTTCAAACCGCTGTAACTCGACGACAAATCATTGTATACGAGAAATTAGAAAAGCATTTTAAAGTTTGAAGTTTGTACTTTGATGTGCTGTCAATCGTTTTAAAAAATTTTTTATTTTTATAGTTCTGAGCTTGGAAGAAGAACACATTGTTTTGTTCTTAAAATTATGTACTTTAAACTAGCTTGAAAAATGCTATGTGCAAGTATCAAATTTACTAGTCGATATTAAAAAAAAAGAAAAGAAAGACTTTTCTTTTTTGGATAATAAAATTAGTAGAACACGTATTTTGTTTGACGTTTTGTCAATGAAGAGAAATTATTGTATTAGCATCACTAGCCGAAAACTGTAGCTAACGTGAATGAGAAATAGTAAAAATGTATGACTGAATAAATGTACGAACTTATGCAATTATTATTCGTTCAACCGTGAACACAAATTTACATATTCAAACTTATATGCGACATTATTTCAATTATTAAAAGCATAAAGCGCAACTTCACAAAATTTTTAACCAAGATTATTGTAACATAATATTATTCAATTTGGTTATATTAATTAATTTACTTTGTAATTACGACACAGTTCTATATAGATAAAGTATGAGAAAGAGAAAGTCACCGCGATATAATTCATATGTGTGTATCAATAAACGCGCTAACAACACGTTATTTATACCTTAATGACAGTATGAATCATAGTAATTACTCGTATAATTAACTTCAACTTTTTTATTTTAATATCACGTTCTAAAAGTTACTACAGCTACAATTTAAAATCTGTACCGAGAGTGCAGCATATTGTTTAATCAATTAAAGTGTTATTATTTAATTATAATACATAAAATAATTTATCAATTCAAAATAATTATATCTGGCTATTAAGTATTTGATTAAAAATTACCTGCACAAAGAATCAAGGAGAATCGTGTTATCAAAAGAATTATCTATCCTCAAAAAGTTGTCACAAAAAAATGCCTCAAAATGACATCAGACTGTCCATCAGACAAGAGTACATTAAATTTATGACAAATTTAAATTGAAGTATTTACAAGTACACATTTTTTCCATACACTGGGAACATCTAGAACCGCTGCCATATTGCTCGAAGTTAGTTGAAATTTTCTTAATTTGTTCGAGATAGAACCAGACAGAGGCAAACGATCAATTAAACTTTGATTAATTTGAGCCAATATTCACAAAAATCTCTCTTAAAGAAAATTGGCGACTGAAGGAAAGACTTACGAAGCGTGTATTCCTGACCCGCGACGAGCGCGAATGCGGTAGCGCAGAATACGGTAAGCGCGTGATACATCCTGCCTGGTTAAAAATGACGGCTAGCCTGGCCAATTATAAACACTCGGTTTATATAGTTTCCCGGCCCAAGGACTCGGCAAAGATACGTTGCAAAATTGCATGTCATTAAAGCGCGCCGACACTCCGTGAGCGGCGAGGAGCAGCAGCGGCGGGAGGCTAAAACACGGCCGCAAAAGCACCGGGGAATGCGCCCCTCTTTTGTTTAGGACATTTTCAGTGAATAAAACGATGAAGATAGCCGCTTGAGTCATTCATAAATGTATTAAGAAATCCAATTAAGAAGGACTTTGATTCGTTTAGACTTTAGACCATTATTATTATTTTTCATTTTATGTTAGCTTCTTGACGCGTGAGCATAAATGCCCCTCGAATTTACATCTTATTAAGAATTATTAAGAATCTCTCGTTTCTTATTCTGAAAAAAAGAGAATAAAAAATTACAGCTAATAATTAAGAAAAAAATAACAAAAATATATCAATAGATATGTGGTAGGAGGATCTCAAGCCCAAGTAGATCGTATTTCTTGATAAATATTCTTTATTGAACCAATGTTGGAACAAACGTTTCGGCTGATCATTCAGCCATCTTCAGTGTTCCTTTTAATCTGTACTTAAAACTATGTTGATATAATTCACATTGAGGTCTACACTGGTGATCACTTATGTGATTGTGAGAATTTGCAGTTACGGTGTTAATCTGAAGTCACCATGTTCTCAACTGAAAAATATATCACCCCATTGGTTAATAAAAAAAATCTTTTTTATTTTGATAAAAGAGAGGAAAAAAATTAATGAATAGATGATAAATGTTTATAAGGATACATGAGAGATTTCTGGCTACCGGACGGCTGAGATCATTGCCCAGAATCCACCCAGTTTCTCCGTGATCTCTCTCTCTTTCTTTGTCACTGCATCGGCATCTTGGGCTTGGTGCAATTGAGCGCGTGATCATCACATTGTTGCGCTTTGTTGCGGTGATTTCAATTCTGAGAATTGCGTAGTGAAGAGATCTGTTCCTTTTAACACTTTCGTATTCTTCTTGAATTTAAAATAAGACAAATGTATATTTATGTTTCAGACAAAGGAAGATAATGCAAAAAAACGCAGTTGAAGAGAACAGACTTATCGATTCTTAAAAATTTGTTACATTAAAATAAAAATTTCATGAAAATTTGAAAGAGTAATTCATTATTCAAATATACACATAGATAATTAATTACTCATTTTTTTTCATTGAATATCTTTAAACGATTATAAGTTGATAAAAATTTGTTATCTCAAATATTTAATGTGATTAAATATCACTCAGTTATTTACATACTTTAGGTATGAAAAGCGCAGTAAAATTGGAAATCTCTCTCAAATTTTTCCAAAATGCATTTACATTTGTTTTAGTTTGCAAGTCTCTTAATGGATTTCACAGCTTCAGAAATAATCGACGTGACAAGCAGAAAAGTATTTTACGTAAACTATCATTAATGTTAACCTTCAATTAAGATCTGTAGGATATAATTAGTCCCCTTTGCAATCAAGGAAGATACTTGTACTTTACAAATTTGTTTTTACTTTATTTTAATGATCCGTTTAATGTGTTGGCTGAACAGAAACGCTAATACTCGAGTCGTTAGCTGACTTATTAAAGCTACCGGAACTGCATCGTCGATGTTTACTGATAATGATAGACAGAATTATCTAATCTTAAGACATTACGTGTCAACACAACAATAGAAAAAAAAAATATCAGCTTTCGCATACGCGCATCTGACGAGCCCAACCCAGTGAGTTCTCTCCTCGTCGCAATAAGTCGATCAGTTATGCATTAGCCTCAATGAGGAACAAAGTGTATCAAGAAAAATTTCTAGAATTCAGGAAAACGATTTCGCATTTCGCGATTGACGCGGTCGCGTGAATCCCGTGAGAACGTGCTTCCGTGAACTTGCGATCTTGCGTATACGTTTGCGCTGCACAGATACGATCGACGATCGGCGATCATGCAGGTGCGACTACATCACAGTATTTACCTAGTTGCAATGGTATTAAGACCAAATCATGAATACGCGAAGTAGCTACCCTTGGAACACATCATATCGACGGTGAGAAACGAGTTTCTTTAAGGACGTGCACAACGGCGAAAAAAAAGAGAAATGTCGAAGAAACAATCTACTCTCGACGAGACTTTACTATGACGTAGATGTACACGGTTAACATATGTATGTCAAAGCAGTTGATATGAATACTATGAATGGCGCGTGAGCGCCATCGAATCCTTTCTCGTTACGTGCCTCACCTCACATTATGTGCACGGTGGTCTTGAAATCCTCGCAAAGTGAGAATCACGTTTCCATTTTACTTCGAAGCGCAATCTTTTGCATTCGTGTTGTATCGCTAATAACATTATCAGTACGGATTAATAAGTGATTCTTCATATTCAAATGTAATTACAATGCAAATATCTACATTCAGATATTCGAATTCATAGATACGAATTTTATGAGATAATCGAGATACCCGATTAATACTTGAAATGCTTAAATTATTGGAATAATATTCGATATACCCGATAGATGAAGAAAAAGTATATTGTAATGAGTAAGTTTAAAAAAAAATAATTTAGAATTAAAATTATGCATTTTTCTACCATTGAAGAAAACTAGCTAATTATATTTTTTTAATTTTTTTTAGAACTGTCATGAAATAGCTAAGGATAAATCAAGAAAATTTTGCTTTCTTACATTCGCGCAACTAATTTTCTTTTTATTTTTATAATTAAAAATGTACCCATTTAATACATTTAAATTAGTAAAATTATCCAGAACTATACAAAATTAGGTTTAATGATATTTTATTATTATCCGCGATTTAATTCTTACTTGTCTTATAAGTTCTTTTAATTGAAAAAAGTTTGTACATAGCTAATATGACAGTTGCACACGTTTGCATATATTTGATATCGAATAAGCGATTACGACATAATATCGTTATGTCATGAAGTTTTCCTAAGCTAGCTGAACTAAGGATAAGTTCCTCGTATTCTTGACCACGTGTTTCCAATTTTATTGTCACACAAAGGTGACCGGCATTATTATTTAAAAGAATTGTAGGCTGCACTTAAGCAGTATCCTCTAACAAATATGTAACATCTGGTGTGCAACTGTGTTGCGCGCAACATCTGGTATAATAAGACGTGTAGATAATACTAGGGCACACCACAAATTAACTAAACACTGGAATTTAAAAATTGTTCAGCGTTTTCCTTATTGGTTTTATAAATAACAAAAAGTACACATGACATCACCAGCACGCGTCACTGATTTCTATTGACACAAGAAGAAGAATAGTAGTATATTTCTAAAATAAAAAGTACAAAATATGTCTGTGTTTAATAACATTTATATTATGATATAAATATATTTAAAATTAAAAATTTGGCAAATAACATAATTTAATAATATATAAAGTATCGCAATAAATGTAGTAATATTATTTGACATTTTTCGTATACACACACGCGAAAAATTAGCATACATGTTTTATCAATCATTATTTTGTACAGATACATTCGATACAAATAATAATCCAAAACCAATAATCATATTTTTAATATCGAGTACGCTAAACATTTGCTTGGTAAACATCAACATCTTTATCATATGACACAAATTGCATATAATAATCTACATAAATGCATTTGCGCGGATCAATGAGCGTGAGTGATAGTACAACGTGTGTGTCCTTGTAGAGATAAAAAAAATAAATAGTCCTTGTCGGATTAAAGCAGAAAGACGCGCATAGCAATTAGAAGCGATCCACGCGTCTTTTCCTCCCTCGGTTGTATAAGAGAATGTACGCACATATGTCCTTCCTATCAATTGTCTTTTAGCTTATTTATAAACTCTATATTACGTTTATTTTCTACTTTGTGTCTGATAATATTATATATTTAATTAAAATAAAAACTAAATCTACAAAATTATCATTTCTTTTTATTTTCTCACTTTATTTCTTTCAATGACAATTATAATTAAAACCACAAAAAAAAACTATCGTGTAAAAATAATTTTTAGGATATAAAGTATCATTTGCAAAGATCGTGAATAAAATTCTTTTTAAAATATATTATAATTGTTGATGGTTACAAATCTGTAAAGAGCTAAATAATTTTTCTATATTTTTTATTTTCTTGAACAAATTTTTCCGAATAAAAAAATTTATTTCAGACTAATTCGTGTCCTGCGTCTAGGCAACAAAATTCTTCTTCTCTTTGTTGGTTCAGAAGAAAGATATGTAGGTCTCTCCAAGTAGTATACACATGTTTATGCCGATCACCGTTCACTTAACAGTAACCGTTTTCAACTATCCGATGTGCGTGTTACCGCTAAAGAAACGCGTGCAAGCGCGTGATGTGAACATTGTTGCACAATGATATAATTACATTAAACGATCTACATTTGGTCCGCAAGCAATGAACCAGGTGTAACGATTAGATGATAGTGAAAAATTGGCAAAGTTAAATATATAGATAAGAAATTGAATATCTAAATCTAAATTTTGTGAGTTCTTCTTATGTACGTTAGATGACAAAAGTTATAACTATTATAAAAATTGTTATATAATAGTAATTATTATTTATATATATTATTATTATTTATAGATATTTCAATTGTTTGATCGTATACAAAATAAAATTGTACATATGAGATTTTATTTTGTTTAACAATTCTATCGTATAATATTTTTTCAATATATTTTTTTTACAAGAAAACGTTTAAAACGCACTTATCAAATAAACAACAGTCTCAACACTCATTTAATAAAATTTAAAAAATTAATATTTTACAATAGTTTACAAGATATTTTAAATATATAAAAACTTAAAAAATATATAAAAATATTTTATCAAAATATTTCAACTAATAACATATATAAAAAAAAGATAAGGTTTTTTATTTTCCATTTTTTATTGATAATTGTATTGTTTCTTGATTCAATTGTAACTTGAATATTTCCTTACTTCGTAAGTGGTCGGTATTATCAAATCTCGCGATGCAACTTTCATCAGTTCGGTCGATACGTTCGCAGAGCGATTCGCTTATAAGTAACGCCATCTGGCCGGCATGAACTCACCCACGCGAACTACATCGTCGTTGATTGAACCCGTCAGTGAATCAGCTGATCGCTTTACTCACGTGGAGAATCAGCTGTGCGCAACCATGGAAGAGCTGGTGCAAGAGAATCTCGAGATACCGCCTATCAAATATGAGTGTAAGCATCGATTATTGCTATTGTTTCTCAATATTATCATTTTGCTCGCTTTTACGGAAGACCGAAGTGTCTTCGTGCGATAAATTTCGTGCCTCGTCTCATTATCACTCTCAACGTGGCTTACGCAACATTTAGTTTATAACAAATCTTACGAAACTTTTCAAAAGTGCTTACAACGAAACTCGCATTTTCTATTACAGACCTTGATCATACCGCGGACGTGCAGTAAGTATTAATCATCCATGTGTTAAGTATAAACATCTATATGTTTTAATATCGACGCCGACCGGTTCTTTTTGGAGGTTACATCAGCAGCTAACCTAAAAACGCGCGAATAGTCGCGTGAAGATGTGGAGGCATCGTTAGATTTCTAAGAACGGTTTTTAAAAATAGTATTCGCGACGAAGCTCGATTCAATAACAACAATTACGCATTTTAGATTACATGCATGGGGCGAGACATTGCAGGAAGCTTTCGAGCAGTGCGCGATGGCCATGTTCGGTTACATGACGGATCTGGAACGCGTACAGGTCACGCAAGTGCAGCACGTGGAGGCCGAGGGCGAGGATCTTCTGAGTCTACTGTTCCACTTCCTCGACGAGCTGCTCTTCATGTTTAGCGCCGAGCCATACCTCATTCCCAAGGTACAATTTTTCCACTAAATTATTTATGCTAAACAAACTATAAATATATATATCGTTTATTGTCGCAATAACGATAATTTACTTCAATAGCAATAATAATATTATTAATGTAATTACACGAGCAATATATAAAAACAAAGTTCACATTTTGTTAAAATGAAGATTCTTTATTACATATTAAAATGTATAATTATTTTCTATTTTCATGCTTAGATTTATATCTCCCACGTGCATAATTATGATCCTGATTATGATGATTTGAACATATGCAAATTGAATTTGAAAGTCGACAGCTGTAGTTTTTTTTTTTTATTTATTAAAAAACAAGAAAATTTTGAAAGTTGCAAAACTCTTCTGTCCTCATTTATTTAAAACTAAAAGAGAAATCTGCGCGCGTTTGTTATTAGAAGGTCAAGATTACCGAATTCGACATAGAAAGTTTCAAAATCAAGGCGACTGCGTATGGTGAAGAGTTCACGATCGGTAAGCATACGCAGGGCGCCGAGGTGAAGGCCATCACGTACTCGGCAATGCAGATCTACGATCGTCCGCAAATGGATCGGCCCGAGGTCTTCGTAATAGTCGACATATAATTATAACCGCCTGCAGCAAGCACACCCGTCACATTGGACGCATTTCTCAACGTTCGCTACAGCGGCTCTGGACAACGCTTTAAAAACAGTGGAAAAAGTGGGAATGAAGGCTGGCTTGAGGGTTGGAGAAAATAAGTAGAGGGAGGTAGCCGAAGGACGGGAAGAAGGGTGACTTGTGCGCCTCCCCTACGGCCTACATAGAGGATACGATTCTTTTATACTTGCTTTGTAGGGTTCAAATAAATACGTTATGAAGAAAGCACCGGGCCCCCTTCTTCTTGGCTTGACGCAGGCATGTATCAAGGTCACCTGGCCTCTTGGGAAAACGCGTTGAAAAGTTGGAGTTTGCAGAAGTGTCCATTTTGTGAAAACGCGATCTATTTCATTGCATACATTTTATCGTTATGGACCACAGTTTATTTATTATTTATAAGCATTTCTTATGATTAACATGCTATGTTATAAGTTTGTAAAGTATGATCAATATTCAATTGAATATGTACTTTTGATAAATACTTTTATAAGCAAGTTTTGTAGTGCAATTTATGATTGCATTGATAGAACTAGTATTTTAATGTTTAATCTTATTAATGTTTGTGTTTCTCTAACTATGCTCTATGTATGCGTACAATTATGTATTTTAAAGATTGAATAGGATAGTTAATTGTATGTTTTTCTACATTAGACTATTTTACATACATATATGCAGATGATGTAATTGATAAAAATAATCCAAAGAAAAATCCAATTCTTTCTGCGACATTCCCATCTCTTGAGAAAATTATTTTATTAAGATAAATGTATTATTTATTTCCATTATTATTTTCAGAAAAAGCTGTATTATAAAAGAAATATTATGATCTTGTAAGATAGTGCACATATTCTTGTGTGTATACTTGACACACATTATCGCATTTTTTGTCAAATATGACAGACCGGATACAAACTGTCGGTGATTTAACTAAAATAAAAGTCTGCGAGCTTTTGTGGACGATAATTTTATCCCCGCTTTAATTTTCCCGTTGTTTCGATACATCCTCGGGGCCCGTTCGGCTTCCGTTCCACTACAGCCCTGCAACCGAATACCCCTCCATTCGTAAAGGAAGGGACGATCGTACGCTTAGTTTCGGGCAAGAACGGGCAAGAAACGAGGGGCATCAGTGTCCGGCAGAATCGTCGAAAGCAAGCGTGTTTGCGCTCGTACCATCACCGTCGTCGCATTAATACGTCACTAAATTGCATAATTCGTGTATGTGGTTCACGTAACGTTGTGTGTTGCCCCTCTGTCCCCACTGGATCCATCGCGGCGGCCGTGAGGCCCGGATTAAAGGGACCCGCTATCGTCGACGTGTATAGGGAGAGAGAAAGGAAGGGAAAAACGAGGAGAGAGACTCAGACTTTGTTCGGCAACACCCCCGAGCATGGCGGACCGGTATGTTAATGGTGTGCTTCGGAAACGCGGGAGTGCGTGTGAGAACCCCGAGAGTGGATAACCAAGCCGCGACGAGGACAGGAGGGGCGCCCATAGAGATTTCTCGGCACGGCATTGTTGTCGTCCGCGTGGCAGATCTGCAATAGAGGTACAGTTCCCCGATTTTTGGCGGGTAAACCCAACCAACGAGAGGTGCGAAGCGACCACCACGCTCCATGGTCGTGCGAGCTCTTCGTCGACGCTTTAGTGACTCTCGACGGGATGCGATGACGCGTGTGAGGCAGCACGGAGCGCGCTCGTAATTACGGTAATGAACTGACGTTATCGGACGTGTGATTATCGAATGATCTGACGAGAAAGACGTTTTATCGGTGTCTTTATTCAACGACGGATGCCTCATACGAGTACGCGCTTCGATATCCAGGTGCTGTTGGGGCATATCGGACACCACGTACCAAGCTGGTGACGGTGGTGCGGCAAGGACCTCAACGGAGAAGAGGTAGAGCGCGGCGACGGTTTTGGCGCGCGTATTTCAGCTGTCGCGTGCGACCGGCAGATGGCCGGTACGCCGGCTCGTTACGCGCGCGCGCCTCACGGACACGCTGCACGCTCACCAACGATCGACCACTGTCGCCACTACCACTACGACGAAGGTGTCGCCGTTTGGTCGCGGACGCGCGTACTTACGAAAGGCGGCGAGGAATAACGCGTCGTTGCCGCCGCGTAAACGCGAAACACGTTCCGGGATCGTCGATCTGTGAAAGTGCCTTCTGCCGGTGCGAACGCTCTGGGCTCGCTGCAAGCGGTGCGGTGAAAAAAAACTAAAACGTTATTTTGGTAAGTTTACGCTTTGTATTGTTTACATTGTTCCCTGCGATTCGAAGTGTCATTTAACCGAAAGGGAGAGGGAAGGTGGAGGGGGGGGGGAAGGAATCTTGTCGATCAACCGCAAAATTTGCAATCGCGATAGCTCTCGGTTTCCGATGTAATCGCGAGAAAGCTCTACGAACGGGGGACGAGGTGGGCGCACACGCGCTATAACATCGCTCACACACACACGTTCAGAAGCATCGCCGCGCTTTCTCGCTCGCTCGCTCGCACTCGTTTCACCAGCTCGCGGCGCACGCGCGAGCCGAGTCGTCGCGATGCGTGTGAAAGAACAGCCGACATACTCGCGCCGTCGCGCGCGTCCACCACGCTTTTCCGCGGTCGCGTATGCATGCGCCCGCCGGCGGCGACACGACGTTGCGATTTCGTACACATTGACACACAGCTGGTGCGCGCGGAGAGTTGGTATACACCTCTCGACGAGAGTGGGATCCCCCAACAGACATTTACGACACGCACATGCGGCCGATGCTTCTCCGTCTGCTGGCGTTCCTCGGCGCGCTCTCTCTTTCTCTCTTCTGGCATCGCCGAGAGACCGGCGCGCGGCGCACGCGGCACACTATCCGCTACTTGCAGCCAGAACCGGCCAGTCGTGCCAGTGCGCCATAGAGAGCCCAGGTCCCGTACGTACCCGTATAGCGGATAGAGCGGAGCGAAACAAGCTGACTGATCCGCTCGGATCTCCTCGCGATCCGGCCTCGTGTGTGCGCGCGCGGCACCTCGAGAGACACGCAGAAGGAGAGAGAAGGTTCGTTTCTCTTTGCTCACTGGCCTGGTCGGCCCGAGTCGAGCCGAACATGCCGAGGCGGGGCTCGCTGTAAAGCCCGAGCGAGCGAACGAGCGAGCGCGCCACGCCGCATTCTCGACAGTGAAAAGCAGCGGAAACACACGGCGCCCGGAACAGCGCCATAAACGTTCCCCGATCCCGCGTATTTTCTCGGGATCGAAAAACGCATTCTCGTCGCGGGGAGCCGTTTGCTTGCCTGCTCCGGCTACCTGCTCGACCGTTCGTTTGCCTGCCCGCCTGCCTGCCTGCTTGCGTCGATTCGTCTGTGCGTAGCGTAACCGTAACGGCGGCATTGGACCGCGAAGAAAATGGACACCGTGCTCTAGCAGCACGGTCGGAGAAACGAGCGGCCTCGAGAGAAAGAGAGATACATGCGAAGAGAAAAAGAGGGATAAATTGCCAAGTACGACAGTGTGTAGCGCAACATCGACGACGACTATGACGACGAGCACGGCCACGATTACGGCGACGAGGACGATTACGGCGACGAGAACGACGACGACGACGACGGGATTGAGTGGACGAAGGGAAAGGGCGAGCGAGTGATCACGCTAATACGCGAGGTGCATTTCACAGCGATCGGATCGCACGAGCTCTCTCTCTCTCTCTCTTTCTCTTTTTCTCTCTCTATCTCGACCGCGGACGACGAGG